TTAAAAAGCTACTCCCAACCGATGCCAAACCGTTGTTTTGCGATATTCGCCATCTCACATGATTTCCACCTTTTTTCGCATTAAGCCTGACCAAAATACCCCTTCGCGGTAAAGATGGTGGGGCGTCAGGCGCGGGAGGCATCGCGGTCACTGGGCGGCTCGCCGTCGCTAGAGCAACCTGCTGTGGCCCACCCGCTTGTGGTGGCGGACCTGAAGGCATCCCTCCTCCTCACCGTTCAGTACAACGCCACCACCACCGCTGCCATCGTCGCCGGTGACCGGAGCAACTAGGTTCAGTGGTAGAGAGAGGAGGAAGGGAGAGAAGACGGGAAAGAGAGCCGAAGGAGGAGGTCCTGGTAGTGGAGGCAACGAGCCCTTTCGCCAAATCATCCGAGGAGCAATCCGCCGCCGCCGCCCGAGAAGAAAGAAGTTGAGCCAGCCGTAGGGGAGGCGCTAACCGCCGATGCTGCCGCCGACAACTCCCCACCCGCGGCCATTGTCAGCTCCTAGCCCCGTGGCCGCCGTTGAGGAGGAGAGCGGCGCCGCGGGAGCTCCTGGCCATGTAGTGTGATGCCTTCGCAGTGTCCCTGTCCACGCAGCTTGGGCCGCCGACGAGGAGGAGGATAGCGGCGCCGAAGTGCGAAAAATGGTGGAAATTCTGTGAAATGGCGAATATGGCTAAACAACGGTTTGGCATCATTGGGAGTGGCTTTTTAACGAATCTAATTCACGGAGTGGCATTTGAGCGAAACCCTTTTGGCAGTGGCACAATGTCTAATTTCTCCTTTGTGACATGCCGCTGGCCTCTATTATAATGGATCGTTCACGATGCCCAGTTGTGTACTAGTCGAGTGACAATCGGACAATTACCATTTTTTAAAAGGAAAGTTGGGTTTAATTACAATTTTAATCGGATGGAATATTGAAAGATTAAATTGTGATTGATTTGGAAAACCTTTTTTCATGTGTATTCTTTACCAGTACGTCTTATATAACAACTCGAATTTTATGGCAAACAGTCGAGTATGAAATGTGTAAAAACCCAGACTTTTTTTTTTTACAGAATTCGATTTGAACGTAGCTATACCGAGATGATGATTTCTGAGCTTGAAAAAAAAGGATTTGTAAAATGAGAACTAAAAGAAATTGAGAATTTTCTCAGAGTACAATTAAAACTTGTAAACCAGGAAAAATTTAATGTTATTAATTCGAACCAGAAACCTGATTAAAAAATTAGGAATTTAGAGAGAAGGGAGGACCTTCGTTACTGGGCCGAAGCCCCTATCTAAAGTGAGGGACCTTCACATCCTCTGCCAATGGCCCATGCTACAGCACTGTGCCGTTGAGCAATCTTAGCCCTTCTTTTCTAATCAACGTTATAGATAAATAATAGATTTTTATTTTGTTCTTCCCGTTGAATTTCATTTCTATCATTTCCTTCCTCCCACGAGAAAGAGCTGACTCTTTCTCTAAACTTCCCACAAAAATTAAAATAGCGATTAATTAGTTGAACGCAACATATACAAAACTAGAAGATTTTTTTTTAGCTCTTGCAACCTGTCTACATGAATTCATTCTTGATTTCCGTATGAAAGAAAGCAAGACAGAGATCAAAAGGGGGAAGAAACAAGCCCATACGTATCCAGTTATCCACGATGAAATTGGTAATTAACACCGTAAACTGGAATACTCCCTTCATTGTAAATTGATTTACATATTTATTAGGTACACCAATATCAAGAAAATCTAATAACTCTCTCATACTATATTTACTCTAGCAACAAACTCGATGCATGCACCATTCCCACTATTTTCTAGCCAATAACAAATCAAGATATTGCATGTGGGTTATAAATATTTGTGTGCATGGATGCATGCATTAATGTCCATTTACTCCAATGCACAAATAACGAATAGACTCAATGAATAAATACAAATATGTAGATAATTTAGGAATAACCTAAAAAAACTATATGTAGATCAATTTGGAATGGAGGGAGTAAAAGAGTACATGACTGCAGACATTACAACAGCTTGATAGCTTGGAGACATAAAGATGCATGAGAAGGATTTGAGCTTCTTTTGCATAAACTTAATCTTGTCCGTTCGTTCCGAAAGAGCAGCCATGATTACCCCAACGGCACTAGCGCCATAGCATGGACCAACGGCAGAGGATGCGAACCCCCAAAGTGAAGCCCGTCCCTCCGGGCACAGATTGTTATGGTCCTTGTGGCCCAACTTCCCCAAACATTACATTTGATAATTACGTTTAAATCTTTGTAAATTTGCAAATATATTCCATTTTGGACACGCAAGATCGGTCTCTATATATCATCCGCACTGATTTATAAAAGTATAATTATATAAATATACTAGATGAAACCCTGCGCATTGCAGCGGGAATTTAGTATGATAACAATAAAAAAAATAAATAACATGTAAAATAGCTAGATAACATCAGATTAAGTAAATTAATGTGGTTTATGATAATTTAAATTTAAATAGTATATAGAATGGTGATTAAAATGTAAAAAGTAAGGTGGCATGACTTTATAGAAGAAGAAAAGTAGAGAGATAGTTTGGACCGTAGATTAATCATCTAAAAGCTAAAAACAACTGATGTGATATGACTTAATTAGAGGAAAAAAGGAGAAAGATAATTCGGACCAAAATCATTTAAGCACTAAGTGAGGATGAACAATATAAGTATATAGGATATCATAAAAACATAAAAAGATATACATTGAAACATTATGTAAATTATATTGGATGATAATTTAACATGTTTGTATTTGAAAATATCTTAAATTATAAAAACTATAAAGATATAGCATGTTTGCATGATGTTTAAATGTGATGATTGTTAGTGAATGATGATGTGGCATCTTGTTAATTAGTGGATGATGATGTGGCATCTTGTTAGTGAATGATGATTTATCATTTTTGCATGTTAAGCTTAAGGAGTTAGTTAGAGGAAAAAAAGGAGAAAGATAATTTGAACCATAGATTAATCATTTAAGCACTAACTAAGTGAGGATGAACTATATAAATATGTAGGATATTATAAAACATAGTAAAGATATACATTGAAACATTATGTGAATTATGTGGGATGATAATTTAACATGCTTGTATTTTAAAAGCTCTTAAATTATAAAAACTATAAAATTATAGATAATATAACATGTTTGCATGATGTTTAAATGTGATGATTGTTAGTGGATGATGATGTGGCATCTTGTTAATTACTCCCTCCAGTTTGGGTTTATTTGTCGTTTCGGACGTGATTTCAAAAACCAAGAAGTCGTTAGGTAGGGTTGTTATTTCCTATTTCGTCCCTATTAAATACAGTTATGTGTAGCATGCAAACAAGCAACTACTACTACTCTCTCAGTTGGGTTAGTGCATTCATCTTGGTGTGTTGGGTCCTGAGTTCGATTCTTGCTCTAGACACATACCCCATTGATTTTTGTCTTGGCGATTATGCATGGCACCATGCATGCATGCATGCAGCCCATGCAGCTTCAGTGCAGATAGCACGCGAGGCGGCGAGGGCATACGAAAATTAAACCAGCCAATTTTATTCAATCTGTGCTTATGCGCGCGTTTTTCCGCCAAAAGTTTTCGTTTCTGCTTATTTGCCACGCTAATTTGCCGCGCGCTGCGCGTGTATTTATACTGTATACACCCGTACTTGTAGACACACCAAAATATACGAGTCCACATCAAGCAGGTTGAATAGAGAAATGGATCTGAATATGGAGCCACAGAATGACGACAATTTTACTGATGAGATGGAATACGGTATGAAGCATTGTCTTTTTTCTTCTTTTGGCGCATACCAGCTTCTCTGCCGTGTACCTACATGTTCTTGGCACTCTAGGTGATTTAAACTTGGATGATGGACTTGATTTCAATTTGGAAGATTTGATTGATTTCAACTTGGAACCACACACAGAAGATGTTGATGGTAACTAGTCTTTTCTTTCATCTTATATCCGTAGAGTATTCTTCTTTGCATCACACCTACATGTTCTTGTATGGTAACTAGATGATGTCATTCTGGATGCTGAATCTGATGTCAATTTGGAAGCTGAGATTGAGTTTAACATGGAAGGTGGGATTGATTTGAACTTGGAACCACCCTTCACTACAAGAAAATATACAATTAGCTACCGTATATTTAGTTACCAAGAAGTTTGGTGCCTAGATATTAATCAATAGTAACCAACATGCTAATACCTTGGTTGCTGTAGTTGTCAGCACGTTACTTAAGTTAAACAGTACCAATTACCTCTACAGTTACCAAGTTACTGGCCAGTACTTGGTCACTAGTCACATGACAACATATAGCAACCAAGGCATGTACCTGATATTTGAATATGTGGAGTACTGGAGTGCAAAACACACTTCCTCTTGATCCCCATCCAGAAACAAATCGAGAGGCAAGGGCAAGGTCTGCGGCTGGCGGCGGCACCGTCGACGGAGTTTTGCGGCGACGACGACGCCGCCGCCGCCGACGCTCGGTGGAGGAGTCCTTCGCGGCCCCTGTGCTAGCGCCCAGGAATCGGTGGTCTCTGCGACGGCAGCGCCCGAGGGATCGCTGGTGGTTTAGCTACAACGTCGTCGGGGCAAGCAGTTGATTCATTGCAGGCAGCAGGAGGAGTCTCCACTTTGATTCAAGGTAAGTGGTTAAATTCTCCTGATATTCTATGTTTGCACACAAACAATTTGTTTAACTGGATGTGTCTTGAACCTGATCTATAACCCAAATGAATCCTGATCTATAACCCAAATGAATGTTTGTAGGCACTATTATTCAATGGTTTTTGTGTGAGATTTGATCTGCTATAACATGAGTGTGACTTACAAATCTGGTTGACTGCACTAATTTGATTAGCACACAGTATTTCTAAGCTATAAAGAGGGGAAAATAACTAGGTTAAAGACACATGACTTCCACCTGCTTTTGCAGCGAATACTTCCAATTGGAATTCGAGGGTATTTGCAGAAAGACATTTGTGATGCACTATTACAGTTAGGTAGCTTTTTTCGTCAACTATGCTCTAAGTCATTGAAGCTTGATGTGCTGGAAAAGTTAGAAGAACAAATAATATTTGTGTTGTGTAAATTGGAAATGATTTTTCCACCTGCATTTTTTGATATTGTGGTACACTTAGCAGTCTATTTACCACAACAAGCAAGACTTAGTGGACCTGTACAGTATAGATGGATGTTTTTTTATTGAAAGGTATGTGTTGATTAGGATCCTTCTCTTTGTTCTATAATTTTGTCGTTGTACTGTAGTAAGTGTATATTATTGGTATGTAGGTTCCTTGGTACTTTGAAAGGCATGGTGAGCAATAGGGCACATCCAGAGGGTTCAATCGCGGAAGCCTATATTATGAAGGAGTGCTCAACATTTTGCTCTATGTATCTCAATGGAATTGAGACAAGGTTCAATAGGGAAGAGAGAAACTATGATGGAGAGAGGCAATTCGCTGATCGCTACTCAATATTTTCATCTAGATTCCGTGCTTTTGGTCACAAGGATGACGTAATCCTAACACAAGATCAATATAATTCCCTGTGTTGGTACGTGCTCAATAATTGTGAAGAACTGCAAGGGTTCCTATAGTAAGTAAAATAAAATGATATTTCAGTAATAGTTACAAATAATTACATAGTTACTTGTACTAATATATCACATGTCGCAACAACATTTTAGTGAGCATGAGGACGTTTTAGAGGCACAAGGCGTGGGAAATATAGCAAATAGACAGCAACAAGAGTTTGCTACATGGCTGCGCCAAAGAGTAAGCTCACACTTGGCTTCACATAAACTATATGTCCATTGTTTGCATTAGCTAACATGCATTATTTTTGGCAATTAGGTTATAGATTTGCGCAAGGATGGTTCATCCCAAGTATCTGATTGTTTATATGCCCTTGCAATTGGACCATACAAAAAATTACATAAATACTCTGGATGTATTATTGGTGGAGTTAGATTTTTAACAAAGGAGCGGGAGGAAGGTCGAAAAACTCAAAACAGTGGAGTATGCGTTGAGGGTCCACATAAAGGGAAAATCATAACATACTATGGTACTCTCACAGACATATATGTCTTGGATTATCCTAATGATCGGCAAGTTGCATTTTTTATGTGTGATTGGTATGATCTGGAGAGAAACAAACCAGTGATCATTGACAATGACTTTGTTAGTATTAATATAAGCAAAAGGTGGTACACAGATGACAATTATGTATTGGCTAGTCAAGTTAAGCAGGTCTTTTATGTACCTGATACTAAATTGAAGGGGAATTGGCAAGTAGTGCAAAAGGTTAACCATCGGCACCTATTTGATCCAGAGGTTTGGAGTGCTGGGAGTGAAAGTGCTTTAGACATCGGTGCTAATGAAGATATTGCCTTTCAAGAAGAAGAGGGTGGTGATATTGTTCTGGATGATACTTTTGAAGCTAATACATTGAGTCGCGATGATGTGATTCCAGAAATTGTTAGTGATCCAAAAGAGATAGCATCTTTAAAGGAGGGTCTTGTTTCTCGAAGTGAATGTGAAGAAGAAACTGAGAATTAGATTTCTTGTGATTCTATTATACATCAGTAAGTATGGAAGTAAATTAATGAATGTTTTCCTTCATATAACTTATGTTACATATTTTAATTATTGCTCTAGGTATATATGAACTAATAATGCTGTCAAAACTTCTTACTCTTATCAATTGTTTGTGCAGTTTGTTTGTTTTTGTTTATTTATTTGTTACTCCATTACTTGATTATGCTCACTTATTTATTTATTGTTAGCTGCAGATGGCACCTGGACAGAAAGTTCGGCCTCCAAGAAACTCACAACCATCTAATTGCCCACAAACTCAGCATGTTTCTACTTCCAACTCCAAGAAAGTGCGTGGAAAGAATAAATCAAAAGGTTTGGAGTAACTGATCAAAAAAGCTGGTCACCCACTGAACTTGAATATTTCAGTAGAGAGGAGGCCAATTGGAGAAAATCATGAACTACTTTCAAGGGAGATTGGGATTGTTACTAGGTACCATGCACCTATCAAACGCATTGGTTGGAACAATTTTAGTGAGGCTGACAAAGAACCTTTGTATGAGCTTCTGAAGGTATATAATATTATCATTTTTATTCCTTTATGTAATATCTTTGACTTCTCTGGAGTGATCTTGCAAATACTAACATCTGAATTCTATCTTTTGCAGATGAAATTCAACTTAGATCTATCTGAACCTCATGTTAAAGGCTGTCTGGAGCTACTATTTTCGTCAAGCTATAAAACATTTCGCCATAGATGCTATACTCATTATCTCAAGTCTGGTGGTGGGGACAGTGCTCGTAACAGTCCATATGAACCCCTTCGTGACAGACCTGGTGATTGGACTTGGCTTTGTGATCATTTCGAAACAGAAGAATTTCAGGTATATGATTCTTTGCATGCTTTATCTTATATCTGAATGCATGCCTCTTAACAACTAGCTAAATTTATTTCTTCTTCATATTAACTAAGGCATTTTCTATGTGTTCCTTTGGCTATTCTTGCCATATGCAGAAAAAATCAGTTATAGGGAAAGCTAATCGGATGAAACTGGCAAATGTTCATAAAAAGGGAACCAAACCATTTGTGGCACTTCAGCATGAATTAGTAAGCTAAATTTCATCTATTTTCCTTATGATTTATTTTTCGTAAGCATCTGTTTAAGTAAATATTATGTCTTGGCAGAGTTGTGATCAAATCTCATTGTACAAGGAATGCTATTGTAGTGACAAAGGATGGGCGTCAAGAGATGCTAGACAGAACTATGTAAGTATCATTCTAACGAGTCATTTTCACTATAGTTAAGTGTCTTCTTGTGCTAACAAAAACTTTTGATTTTTTTTTTGTATAAAGGAAACAATGTTACAGATGCAGCATGAAAATGAGCAAGAAGGTGCAATCCAGCTGACAGAGCAACAAATTTGTGAGAAGGTGCTTGGGAAGGCATATGGATATATTAGAGGGAGATGTCATGGTCCGAAACCTAATAGAAGAGCTTCATCAACTTCAGCAAACACCTATCAACAAATGGAAGAAGAATTGGCTTATACAAAACAAACTGTGGCAGTTCAACAAAACCAGCTTGCAGTACAACAAAATCAGCTTGAATCTCAACAAAAGCAACTTGATTGGTTGCGCAGTGTCGTGTCCAAACTTGCTGGTATTCCACCTCCTGCTATGGATGATAATGATGCCTTAGGACCATCCCACACAACCACAACTTCAATTGATGGATCCGGTATGCAACATTTTTTTTCTTCTAAAAGAAAAGCAGAATATAGTGTTATAATACATAGAAATGCTAATTAACTTTTGTTAAATTTATTTGATAGGTTCACTGGTTTCAGATGGAATGTCAAGGAGATCATGATTTTGAAGATCTTTGATTAGGAGGTATTACTACTAGAAATTGATTGCCCAAACCATATGGAAACTTGAGCATGCATGTAGTACTGTTTCTATAAATTCATGTTTGAATTGAATCTCTAATGTATACGCTGGAATTCTATAAATTTTCCAATCGACTTTTTATGTCCTGTTTCTATTAAAACTCTACTGTAGTCATAGCACTGTTCTGAATTTTTTTCAATTAAATTTTAGCAATGTTTCCCATAGTCCATGCATCTTAAAGTTGCAACTAAATTGAAACTTCATTCCTATGAAATAAGTTCATCATTAACAATTTTGAAGAAGACAGGATTAGAGGATCGACCAGATCAGCATAGTAGTGAATACGAACATTTTATATATGTGATCCAGTCCATGACATTTTCTAATTTCCCTGAGATTAGCTTTTTTTCAGGAACACCGCAACGTAATCTCCCAGGCTACATTATCTTGACAATACTCATCATGGTGTTTCAAAACAAGCATCAGGTTGCGATGCTCCAAGAGACTTGTATAAACTCAACCATAGTACTACAGAAATTTTGTTTACTTTGTGGTACAGTGATTCGTAGTTCTGTTCAGATAGAAGTGATTCATATTTTTCTTTAAATAGATTACTCCTTTAGAAGTTGACTTTTGGGTATAATGATTTCCTTGTAAGACTGCACATCAGTTTTAATGTGTTACCTTGTCAAGCATGTACTCAAAGGTGAAGCTTGAGATGAGTTTATTGTAGCACTATTCTGCAGTTGATGCTATGGTAACCTAGTTGATTCATATATGAATTGCACATCAAATTGCCATAGTACTGTAGTTTCTATTAATTGCTCTGTCTGAATTGAATTATGCAGTGGGTGAACAAATCTTTAGTCACCAAGGTAATTAATGTTCTAGGTGGCAGGATGTATGTACTTACCAAGGAGGGTTGGACACAACATACTTTTAGTTGCCAATTACTTGGTGGCAAATTATAAATAGTCACCAAGCAACCTTGGTTATTAGATATTTTTAGTTACCAAGTACCACTTGGTTCTAAAAAATATATAGTTACCAACATTTTCTTGGTGACTGTTGCTTTTACATATTGTTACCAACTATGGTTGGTAAGTAATGATATTATCTTTAGCAACCGAGGAGATCACATGTTGGTTACAAAATACATTTAGCAACCGGGTTGTAGCCACCAAGATGCGACCAAGGTTCATTGGTAGCGAAAACTCAATAGCAACCAGCTTATAGCTTATTGTCACCAACCACCTTGGTAACTAATGGTCTGTTTCCTTGTAGTGCTTGGAAGATGTTGGTGGTAAGTACTACACTTTTTTAATCATTTTAAATCATAGAGTTTTCTGATTTGTCAATGTCGAAAGAACCTTTTTTTTCAAGGCAGGAGAGATGTGCCAAATGCAAAACGAAAACAAATAGTTAATGCTTTATTAACAAAAAGCAAAAATGGAAAACTAGAGCGCCATGTGATGAGGGAGGTTGCTGAGTTATTCAATGTTCACATTCGATCTGTTCAGCGCACTTGGAAGCAAGGTAAAAGTTATCTTGATCAAGGCATTACGGTTGATGTCAATGTTGATAATAGAAGACGCAATTGCGGCCGTAAGTGAGTTCAAGTAGATTTATCTGTGCTAGATAGCATTCCTTTAAAGGAACGAACAACGCTTCAAGATCTTTGTGCTCGGTTACATTTGAGTAAATACAAGGTGCAAAATATGATAAAAGAAGGTCTCATTAGGCGTCATTCGAGTGCTATAAAGTCACACTTGACAGATGCAAACAAGAAAGCTAGGTTGCAATGGTGTGTATCCATGCTTGATCCAGGTAGCATGCCAAATAACCCAATGTTTAAGGACATGTTTGATGTTGTTTTTATTGATGAAAAATGGTTCTATCTTATGAGGAAATCTGAGAGCTATTATTTGCGTAAAAATCAAGTAGAGCCTACACGTACGTGTAGAAGCAAGAACAACATCCCTAAAATCATGTTCTTAACTGCCGTTAGTCGTCCAAGATTTGATGCCAACGGAGATTGCACTTTTGATGGAAATATTGGGTGTTTTCCTCTAGTTACTTATGAACCCGCTAAAAGAAGTAGCGTTAACCGGCCAGCAGGGACAATGGAAATGAAACCTATCGTATCTATTACGAAGGAAGTTATTAGAGATTTCATGATCAACAAGATATTGCATGCCATTCGAGTTAAGTGGCCACAAGAAGATATGAACAAACCTATCTATATTCAGCAAGACAATGCTCGTCCTCATCTTGGACCAACTGATCAATTGTTTCATGAAGCTTCTCAACAAGATGGATTTGATATTCAACTTATATGTCAACCGCCAAATTCACCGGATTTGAACATCTTAGATTTGGGCTTTTTTCGTGCTATACAATCTATTCAGTATAAGAAAGTTACGAAAACACTAGCAGATCATGTTAAAGCCGTTGAAGAGGTACTGCCTTTTCTCTTTTTTCCATTTAAATTCACAACAATTTGGTTGGAGCTAATGTTGTTCACATGAAACAGGCTTTCTAGGACTATCTAGTTCACAAGTCCAATAGAATTTTCTTGACACTTCAACTTGTTATGAAAGAGACAATGAAAGTACAAGGAGGAAACAACTACAGAATGCCACATATGAAGAAAGGGACCCTTGAAAGACAGGGTTGCCTTCCTTTGCAGATCAGGTGTGAGCCATCAGTGGTAGAAACCGCTATGTCTCAGATCTGAATAGTCTACCAAGATGTCTCAGGTTTGAGCAATTAGAATCTTTGCCATGTATGAATATCTAACTTGAATCATTTCTTTTCTTTGGAAAATAAGAAGGTAGAAGAAGCTTTAACATTTCTGTTCTAATCTCATCAAATTCAAAATCAGAATGCACCTTTTGGTTATGCAAGTCTCGTTCTTCTTCAATCACCTCATCATTGTTGTCGCCAGCACCGGTAGTGACACACTCCTCTTTCGCAAAATACCTAGGTAGAAGAAGCTTCCACATTTCTATTTTAATCTCATCAAATTCGTGACCAGAATGTACCTTTTTGTTTTGTTCAACTTCAACCACCTCGGCAGCCTCGTCATCCATGGAGTCGGCAACCACGACCACTTCCTCGCCAGCAATGTCGTCCATGGAGTCGGCGACCATGACCACTTCCTCGCCGGCCGCGTCGTCCATGGAGTCGGCGACCACGTGCATTTCCTCGCCGGCAGCGTCGTCCATGGAGTCGGCAACCACAAGCAGCGCTTCCTCGCCGGCCTCGTCGTCCATGGAGTCGGCAACCACGAGCAGCACTTCCTCGCTAACCTCGTCGTCCATGGAGTCGGCGACCACGTGCACTTCCTCGCCAGTCGCGTCGTCCATGGAGTCAGCAACCAGGAGCAGCACTTCCTCGCCGACCTCGTCGTCCATGGAGTCGGCGACCACATGCACTTCCTTGCCGGCCATGACGTCCATGGAGTCGACGACCACGTGCATGTCCAAGACTACAAGCTCTTCCTCGCTCGCCTCATCCATGGAGTCGCTAGCCATCGAGTCCTCATCGTCTGCCTCATACAAGATGTCAGGAACAGGAATCATGGCTTCTTGTTTGATTTTTGCTCAAAGCCCAGATGTAATCATGTTTAAGTTCTCGTGTGTGCTTGCATGCATGCATGCCACCATTAAAGGAGATGGGAACGAAGCGTTAAAAGGAATAACGAGGAGATAATCTGGGAACAATAACGCCATTGATGCACAAGGACAATCTCGTCTCATGCGTGGGAGAAATGCTCACTTGGACTATTGAGATACATGCCTGAGAGGGGATAGGAGCTGATGGTGTACACGGCATGTCAATGATGAACTTGTCACTTGGACCATTAATTGTGATAAACACATCACCAGATCTATTTTCTCCAAAACACTTAA